TACAAGACAGAGGGTGCAGGGCACCAGCAGGTGGTGTGGTGGATAAAGTGCTGGACATTCCCACATGGCCGACCACGGTTCGAGTCCTGGATCTGGTTGCTTTCTCTCCCCCCGCCCCCGAAATTAGAATAAATGAGTGAATGAATAAATAATTATTTTTTAAAAAGACAAAAGGTGCAGATGGGGTGCCGTGACCCCTGCAGCAGTCCCCGCTCAGTCTTTGACAAGTGGATCACCAGTGGTTAAAGCCAAGACCCAGGGAAGCCTGTTACCGGCCTAACACACGTGTGTCCCGGTAAACCCACATGGAGCCCTTTGCTGGTGTTCACTCATGGCCCTGGGGAGCAAAGTCTAGAGACCAACTCCAGGGACAGATTTGTCCCTTCTGTGTCACTCATCCAAAGGCCAGGCCCAGAAGCCACCTGCAGGAGCAGTCAGGGACAGGCAGAGGCTGCCTGCAGGAGTGGCGTGGAGCAGCTGTGGGGGAGCAGCTAGTGCCACTGGATCCGGTTTCTGCAGCCTTCCTGTCTCACAGCCGCGCCGAGCCCTGCTGCAGACTCAGCACAGCCCCCCGGCCGGTCTCAGTGACGGGCTAGGAGTGGACAGAAAGTGGGCACAGTTGGCTTCGCCAGCCCCTGTTCAGCAAGGACAGGATGTGCCAGCCAACCAGGACCTGTTCCTGTGGCCAGGATTGGTCTCCAGCCCTGTGCGTTCAACGCCCACCCTGGGTTCTCAGCAGCCCTGTGCAGGTCCTGTGGGCTGTGCCTTCCAAGTCTGCCCTCTCATCCTCCCCCAGCCTCTGCAGCTGCGGACGTCTCTGACAACAGGCCTCAGTTCTTGTCTCTCCACCTCCCACCCCACCCCTGCTCTGAACAAAGCCCCACCCTTCCCTCCGCCTGCAGGCCACGTCTACCCTGGGAGCCTCCGGCCCCACCCCTTGTCTCCTGTCCACCTGCTGGACCAGCTGGCCCCTCCTCCACTTGGGGTCTGGTCAGGGCCCACCTGACCTCTCTACCCCTTGGTGGTGTATTCTGTCGGCCCTTCTCTCCCCGTTCTGCGAGCTGGCATGGGTCCGTCCAGGCTGCGCCCGCCCTCCACAGAACCGCAGCTCCTGAGAGCAGACGGTGCATCGTCTGCTGTTGGCTTCCCAGCACCTCACACGGAGTATACTGAACAGGCCCAGTGACTGTGAGGCTTCAAGTGGATGTGTCCAGGAGAGCTAGGGCCACGGAAGTCCTGCCAGTGGGAGGGTGGCCTGGTGTCCATCCTCATGGCCTCACTGAGCAGGAAGAGATGAGCGATCTCCCAGCCTGGCAGCCTTCCCCTCTGCGGGCATCTCACCTGGCACTGTGGCGGGTGGTGGCTCTGAGAGGAAAGCCCGGTGCTGCCCTGCACCTGTCATGAAGGCCAGGCTCAGCCCTGCACCCATGGCCTGCTATGCTTGAGTCAGAGGATCATGGCTCAGACTCCTGGTAGCAGGCCATGGGCCCTGTCTTAACAGGCCGAGACACCTGCCTCACTGCCACACTGCCACACTAGCCAAGGGAAGGCGGGCGACACTTTCACAGTTTGTCTTCTGTCTGGAAAGGTTCCCAGGACTGCTCAGGTCCAAGAGCCCGTGGCTCTGGCACGCATGGGCATGTTCCATTCCCCCAGAGGCCTTGGTGGTCTCACATGAGAGGACACTGTGGTGTGTGTTGTTCAGCACGAGCTGAGTACAGCAGGGACACAGGCGTGTGGGCAGGTGGGTGCATCCTCTACAAGGCCTGCATGGGGCTTTCTCTCTGCGTAGCCCTTGCTTTGCAGGTTGATCGCAGGCCTCTCCTCACCCTCCCACCTGACCTCTTCATCCTCCATAGAACGGGGACTTGGCCTAGAGCAACCCTGCCCAGAACCTGTGCCTCTGAACCCCAGGTCTGGGATGGATATAAGTATAAGGTGTGGAAAGGGGGTTCTGCGGCCGAACAAGGGTGTACTACGCAAAGCTAGAGGGGGCGCGGTAAACCATAAGTGCCCAGTGCACCCAGTTCCAGCACAGCTGGGAGTGGGACGGATGCTGCTTGGGGGCTGCCCTGGCCCGGCTCCCTCCCCGCAGTGCCCGGTCCGTGATGCCGAGTGGGCAGCAGGCGGGGCGGTGTGCCCTGGGGCTGTTGGAAGGTGGCAGGTGTCAAGCTCCCTCTGTCTGTGCCAACGCCCTATCCAGGTCTGTCGAGGGCTGTGACACCCTCGCAGGCTGCTCGGGCAGCATGGTGCCAAGAGCACGTGGCCAGACTCCATGCTCCTTCCTTGACACCTCCACACACTCAGCTGCCGGAGAGCCCAGCCTCCACCCAGTGCCACCCCACTGGGCACCCACCTGCCCCTGGCGGCTGCGCGTCATTGTGGGAGTTAGCCTGTGCCCCCGCCCGGCTCCCCGCGCTGGCTGCCCTCAGCCTCACCCTCCTGCTCCCCGACTTCCCCGTGCTGGGCTCCCATGTGCAACGCTAGGTCCCACTTGAATGTGACCGAGGGGGGCCCTTCCCTGACAGGATTCTATGAGTGAAGTCTGCTCTCAGTCCTCTCCCACGTGGCACAGATGGGGACACGTGACACTGACCTGCGCTGTGTGCTCTGGGAGAGGCCTCCCAGCAGCTGGGCGCAGCAGCCCGCCCTGTAAGCGTGTCCACGGTGCCTGTGGGTGCAGGACATGCCACGGCCTCAGGGCCCGCCCAGTGCAGGGAGGACTGAATGCCGTTTAGGGGACAAGTGGCAGACAGGCCAGCGCAGGCTCAGGCCTCCTGTGATAACCGGGTAGTGATGGCCGCGCTTCCTGCCTCTCCACCTCTCCATCCTCCACGTCTCCACTGGGGGGGAGGGGGCCAGGAGACGCGGTGTCTCTAGGACCTTTCTTCCCTTCATCTGGCCAGCCCTGACCAGAGCTGCACATGGAGCGGGAGCCCCTGTGCCTGGCCCAGGGGGCCTGGAAAGTGCCTGGTTACAGCTGTCAGCACGTGCGGACAGAGCATGGTGAGGCCTGTGGTGTCACGGGACTCCCACCAACCCTGGCGAGTGGAGCACGTGGCAGGAGGGGACTGCAGTGTCCACTGGGGGTCCCACTCAGATCCAGTCCAAGCTAGCCAGGAGTTCAGGGCTCTAAGGCCATGGTTGCAATAGGCACACCGTGAGGTCCGGAAAAGCAGGTAGCTACGGGCAGCAGTGCACAGATAACCCTCAGGGCTTCAGTCACCCACCAGCCCTGCACGCCGCCACCCCGTCGGGAGGCCTTTTCTGAGGGCTGAGTGGCCCTGGGATAGACCAGAGCTGGTCAGTGGATGGCAGGTAGGACACTCACCAGATACAGCAGTGGGCAGAGGCCTGGTGAGGAAGGCGGGGTGGCCTGGCCTGTGCCATGCCCACCAGGAGGCCTTTCCTCACCAAGTTCTCCCATGACTCAGGCAGTGGGGTGTCACCTGCCCAGAGCCAGACAGGAGGAGGGCCCAGCCTTGATGGGTGTCAGGCCAGGTGGGCCTGGGCATGAGTGAGGCCAGCTGAGAGCAGGTGGCAGCATTTCCTGGGGTAAGGCCTTCCCTCCTGCATGGCTTCTACCGCATGTGTGACACCCTCGCAGCCCAGGGGCCACCTGGTGTTTCTTCTCACGTTAAACTAGACTCGCCACCTGTCTGTCTGCTGAAGCATTTGGGCTGTTGTCTCAAGGGACATCTCTCAATCTGGTTTGTCCGACATTCTGAGGATCATTTTTTTTTAAATCTTTGTTTAGGTTTTTGCCAGAGGGCTCATGTACTCATGAGAGAGAGACAGAGATAGTAAAAGGAAAAGTGATAAATCACTCCCCAGAGGGGATGGCCATGCTGCAATCCCATCTCCTCCATTCCCTTCCTGAGATTTTTGGACACACATGCACACACGCCCCGCTTGAGTTTCAAGCCACCAGGTCTGGGACTCAAACCATGACCAACCATGTGAGAGTCCAATGCCTCATCCAATACACCACCTGCCAGTCCTCTGAGGATGATTTAATGAGCTCACCCTTCCCTGTGAAGCTACACCAAAGGCAGGCCACTCTGCTACCCACCGTGCCACACCCATCCACACTGTGCACACCTGTCCACCCTGCACACACCTACATGCCATGGATACATCCACCCACCACACACACCTGCATGCCACACATAGCTGCCCTCCCCACACACACCTGCATGCCACACATAGCTGCCCTCCCCACACATACCTGCATGCCATGCACACCTGCACACACCTATATGCCGTGGACACATCTACCCACCATGCATATCTGCCTGCTCTGCACCGACCTGCATGCAATGCACACCTGCCCACCCTGCACATACCTGCCTACCATTTAAATGTCTGCATGCCACATACACACCTGTCTGCCCTGCACACCATGCACACACCTCATTCTGCACATACCTGCGCGCGCACACACACACTTGCCCATGCACATACCTACATGCCGTGCACACCTGCCCACTGAACACACACTTGCCTGCTTTGCACATACCTACATGCCATGCACACACCTGCTGACCATGCGTACACCTGCCCACTGTGCACACCTGCCCACCCTGCAACATATCTGCATGTTGCATACACACCTGCCCTCCATGCACACACCTGCACACTACACACACCTCACAATGCACATGCCTGCCTGCCCTGCACATACCTGCACACCATGCATACACGTGCCTGCCCTGCACACACCTGTACACCATGCACACACCTCACCATGCACACATCCGCCTGCCCTGTACACACACACCTGCACACCACACACACACCTCACCGTGCACACACCTCCACACCACACACACCTGCTATTCTGTACTGTGTGCCCACATTTGGAACCTGCTGCCCCTCCTGGCCCTGCCTGTGTGCTGCCTCCAGCCACAGCCTTGTGTCCACAACCTCCCGTTTTTCTGGTCACCAAGAGCAGTCACCTAGCACCTTCTTCCCTGAGGAAAGTCCCTTCTTGCTTCCAGCCGGCCGGGATCTCCTTGGTCAGCGTCCATTCCAGCCCCAACGACCAGATGCTGTGGGCACTTGACAGCAGGTGGAACGTGCATGTCCGTGTGGGGATCACTGAGGAGATGCCTGTGGGCACTGACTGGGAGCATGTGCCAGGTAGGAGCGAGCAGCCAGGGCTGCCAGCTGACGGGGTTGGTGGCCGCAGTCACTGGGGGCTGTCCTGCTCTCCTGCCTCCTAGCCCCATGGTCCGTGGTGCAGCTGCTGGCTACCCAGCAGCCACAGCCTTCCTGGTGGGTGTTTTGCTTTCTCCTGAGACAGTGTCAAACAAGTGTCCCCTGTTGGGTGAACCCTGGCCAACTGACATTCGCTTTTGTGGGAAGACATTGCTGGTGCTGCCAGGGGCTTCTCCAGCCCCACTAGAAGGCCACCCTTTTCCTTGACTCCCCTGCAAGGCTGGCCTGGAGCAGACTGCTCTGTGGCCACGTGGCTCATCGGTGGGTGAGGAAGTGTTGGGGAGCACAGCCCATGAGAGGGCTGGCCTGGCCTGGCCCAGCCTATAGGCAGGGATGCTGAGGCGGACTGTGTGCCTGCAGGGTTGCAGGCCTGCCAGCTGGCGCTGAGCACCAGGACCGTGTGGGCCCGCTGTCCAAACGGTGACCTTGCCCGACGGTATGGCATCACAGACAAAAACCCCGCTGGAGACTACTGGAAGAAAATTCCCGGAAATGCATCATGCTTCACAGGTAAGTCCAGGGTTGGGGGTTCGGTGGGGCTGAGGGCTGTGGACTCCCCTTGGGGTTTTCAGAGTTCTTGTGGACCATGTCGGCGGGGCCTCAAGACTGCTCCCGCTGGGCCCTGCTCTCCCAAAGCCAAGTCTGAGGACAAGGCCTTCCTGCAGGAGCCTAGCCCAGGGTCCTGCCCAGGGTGCAGCCAGAGGATTTGGGCAAGGACAGATACACTCGAGTGAGGGCATAAAGTACAGACCCGCCAGGTGGCGTGTCCTGCCCCCACGCTAGAGCACAGCTGGACCCACTCAGACTGCCCTTCCGCCCAGCTGCATGATTGACAGGTGTGACTGGCCCTTGTCCCTGCAGTGACTTCCTCAGATGAACTGTGGGCAGTGGGTCCCCCCGGCGCCCTCCTCCAGCGGTTGACGAAGACCTTCAGCCACTCACAGAGTACCCAGATGAGCAGCCAGGCACCCTCTCACGTGGAGGACCTGGAGGATGAGTGGGAGGTCATCTGAAGGAGCCCTGAGCCAGAAGCACTCAGGAAGTAGGAAGTACGACCTCTGTGCTGGACACAGGTGACCTCTGCGTCGCTTGCTGAGGATGCACCTCCTGGATCCTTGTCCAGATGCACCGGCCAGGTTGGACCCCCCACAGTTCCTTCCATCCGTGTTTGTTACGTCATCCTAGAGCCTTCAGCCTCCGCCGGGTGGCTGTGGCTGTGGCTGTAGCAGCAGCACCTTCAAAGTCTTGCCACCATCTCCAGGTGGGGACAGTGTAGTCACCTGTTGCATGCACACACATTCCCATGCTCTGCAGCCGTGTCCTCAGCAACAGCTGCAGGCCCCACTGGGAGGGACGTGGGGATCCTCTGTGGCAGGAAGTCCAAGCCAGATGCAGGGGACACACCTGAGGCACCACAGGTGCCCGGTCACCAGGACCATTTCCACATCACTATCCAAGAAAGCTGGTGCCGAGGGGGTGCTCCGCCTCAGTGGACGTGCTCGGAAATGGCTCCAGCTGCCGAGGCCTCCCGCTCCTCTCAGATCAGGCGCCAGTGCACATCCCATGCTGGACACCCAGGTGGGAGCCAGGCTATGTCTCAGATGTGGGGTGCCAGGGCGGACGGCACACACACACACACACCACACCACACCCCCGCCAGCATCCAGGGCAGGCTGCCTGCCCCCGCAGAACACGCTTCAGCCACAGCAGGAAAGGCCGGCGATGCCGACCGCACAGGAGGGCGTCTGTGTTGGGGCGGTGGCACAGGGTGGTGCCTCGGGGCACAGGAGCTCGGCCCAGGGCTGCCTCAGACTGGGAGGGACTTGTAGCTCAGGCTGCTGTGGACGTCGGGAACCAGGCACACCCTCGAGGAGGGCTCTACTAATTATTGCCTTTTCTGTTTGTTGTATTACAAACCTGCAAGATACCTCATTTGAAATCAGTCTTACAGATTTGGAGATGTATTTTCTGAAGAGAGCGGAAGGCCTTTTGTTTCTTCCCATGGTGTATGCTGAGCCATCCTGCCCCCCCTGTGGCTCCAGAGGAGGGGGTATCCCCAGCATGTCCCCCATGTAGGCTGCTCGCTGCTGGCGCTCCAGGTTGGTACCCAGCAGGTGGAAACCAGCATCTGCTGTCGGGCAGCAGTCCATGGGGCCACGGCAGTGCCCACTCTCCCACTGGCCTCGGCTTTAAGAGCAGGCTGCCTGGCCCATCCCGCACCTGCTGTCCTCCCCTCCTGGCAGCAGCTCCAGGACAGGACTCCAGGCTGGCTGCTGTTTTTAGCCTCCTCTGGCCCCACCCAGGCACTCACTGCCTGTTTTCCACTGAGTGAGTGTCAAGGAGCTCCCAGGCCACAGGTGTGAGCCATAAAACAGGTTCTCGGACAGGGCCTGGCCCGCCGAGAAGGTGGAGGGCTTCCAGGTCTAAGCGGGGTGAGTTGCTAACATCCCTGCTATTACTTTGCACTACACTTCTGGATCCCGGTTTTTAGAAGTTCGGTGGCAGCAGAGGCATTGCCGGCTGGGTGCTCCTCTCCTGCCTACGTCGCGCCTTGCCCGGCTCCCCCTGGATGGCGAAGCTCTCCCAGACCCATGGAACTCGAGTGCAATTAAACCCACGTTGGTACTGGGACCTACTCTGAGCTTCAGTGCTTTGTACAACTTCCCTTCTGGTTTCAATCCGCAGTTGTGCTTAGAGACAGTGCAATAAGGTAGACTTCTGAGCTGTGAGGTGGCCTCAGCGATGCCCGGGGGCTGCGTGCCCCCTGCCCGGAGAACCAGCTCCTGACCTAGCCCAGGTGACCCTCAGTGGGGAGTGGCCCCCCTGGAGTTGGACACACCCCATGGTAGCCCTGGGAGACGTCCTGAGGCGAGGCGGCATGTGGGCAGGCTTTGCAGGCGACCTGTTCCTGGGTCTGTGTCCTGCTGACAGACAGAGCCACGTACCAGAAAGTCTTTCCTGGAAAGTAACACGCACAGGGTCACATCCTGGACAGGGCTCTGTGAAGCAGGCAGCCACCTGGGCAGAAAACAGCCTCAGGGCGAGAATTAGCGAGGCCATGCAGTGGACAAAGGAAACGTGCACCCAGGGAACTCCTTCCTGCTCGTGGGTAGGAGACCGACAGCCTGCAGACTCGGTCTTTCCAGAGGGACGTACAGGCTTAACTCAGTTTCAGTCAGAACGGAAGCAGGGGCAAACTCACGAAATAACATTAGTGCCCACAGACAGCTCCTGGCTACCAGCATTCTCCAGGCTCTCAGAGCTTCACGTCCCTTTACAAGAGCCCTTGAGGTAGCCCCATGAGACTCGGAGTGCTCAAGTGTCCTTGCTCGAGGGCACACAGGATTGAGGCCAAGGGTGCCCAGGGAGCTAGCACAGTGATGGAGGTGTTGCAGGTGTGGGGAAGCAGGAAGGAGGGTCTCCCAGCTGGGGTAGCCACTGCTCGGTAGTGGGCAAAGCAGTAATAAATGGCTTAAGGAACCCCCAACTAGGGAGGAGCGCGATGTGATTTCGGGGCAGTGTGGGCTCTGCGCTCAGAAGCTGTGGGCAAAGCCACAGAGGAAGATCAGACATAAAGTTAGAAAAGGAAATAATTGCAACAGACGTGACACTGATGCCCAGTAACTACCTTAGAACCACATACAGGCGGGACCTAAGACTCAAGGCAAAGGAGGTGAGGCCTGGGACAGAGGCAAAAAGACCACGAGTCCCAGAGGGGTGCTCCGTCCACCACCAGAGTGCCACGCACAGCCCTGTGGGCGAGGCCTGCAGCGCTCACGCCACAGCCCCACCCCAGAAGTCAGGACCAGCCCTGGGGTGGGGGCAGTGTACACTCAGCCTTGTTGGTTGGGAAGTGTGGAAAGCACCCTGCCATCTGGGAAGGGCGACATCGCACGAGCACCCTCCTCTTGTACACAGCTATAACAAAGCACGTGTGTGGAGACGGCCGTGGCCTTGCCCTGCACATGCGCATCGAGTCCGTGTGCCATCCCTTGGGTGTGGTCATGGTGACGTGGTTTTTGTGGGGAGTCATTTGCGAATGAAGGGGGTAGTCTCGACATTGGGCTGTGGAAGGACTGAGCTTGCCTTACTTCCAGGGGACACAGGCAGGGCAGGAGAGGAGCTCTCACACCGTGACAAGGCTCTGGTCCCAGTGGTGGCCTATAGTGTGTACTTTTTTGTATCTTTTAAATTTTGAGCCATGTAAATGTATTATTTATTCCAGAAACAAATAAAAATTACATTTTAGAAACTCAGCTCTAACATTAACTCTGTACGATAGCAACACCAGTTGAATCAAATGGTCACAAAGTGGGGACCAAATGGAGGCACAGTGCCAACAGAGGACACTGCGCTGGCCCACGTAGGAAAGGCCTGGGTTCAAGTCAGACCTCCCTGAACGCACTGGACACACACGTGGGGGTGCATCCTGACGTGTAGACCCAGCTGGGGAGGCTATGTCTCTGTCCTCTGTCTCTCACTCTTAGAAATAGCACAAAGTAAGCACAAAGACTTCTTAAAAGCCATATTTACAAAATGTTTTATAACACCAAGAATCTCATGCTCTGTACCAAGGTCAAAAAGACCACATGGTGTGTGGTCAGATTTTGTGTCTGTACAACACGATCCAAAAAAACCCGTAATATACTTACATGTGCACAGAGCCAATGAAGAAAAGTGCACCAAAATGCCAGCGGCACTGGTCTGGGTGCCGTGTTGGCAGCTAGCCGGTCCCTTTACTCGCCGGATGGGCGCGTCAGCCCCTCTGGGGACCACAGTGAGGGAAGCAGGCAGTGTCCATGGCCCGCCACCCTGCCTGGTTGCACAGCCACGTGCTCTACAGTAAACATGAATTTCTACACATACATTTTTTTTTTAAAGATTTTTTGCTGTAGGGTGCATGTGCACGAGAGAGAGGGAGGGAGCAACCACCCCCGAAGGGATAGGCCTGCCATAAGCCCTTCTCCTCCATTCTCCTCTCGGGATTTAGGGCCCACACGCACACACACCTGATGTATTTTAAGCCACTGGGTTCAGGACTTGAACCGCGGTTGACTACGTGGGAGTCCGGTGATGTAACCATTACGCCATCTGCTGGTCCCCAGCACTACGCCCCTTTGGGAAAGGTTTCTGCCTTCACCACTATTGTGACTGAGGGGTGCAGACATCCGTCCTGACTCATCAGAGTACGCACGCAAAGCCTGTGCGTGTTGGCACGTGTACATCACACCTCCCTTCGACAGCGTCAGGGCAGAGCTGGGCATTGCAGCTCCCTCACCAGCTCTCACACCCCTCGAAACAAGCTCCAACGGGGGCGTCTCACCCTCTCAACGTTCAGGAGCACGCCCTTGTCTCTAACAAGGCAACAGGAAGCAGCTCTCGGTACAGGGTTTGTCAGTTGGAATCAGAAGGGAAAATCACAGAACAAATCAGAGGAAAAGGAGTACTGGAGCCTGGCCCTGTGACCTGATGGTTACGGAGCCGGATCCATGTGGCAGACAGCAGTGCAGACCTTGGCCCTGGCAGGTCGAAACATGCCAGCCATCGTAGCCTGAATCTCAGCCCCGGTGGTGCCCAAAATACCAACAGGATGGAGAAATGGAGGCGTGTGACCAACCATTGGGGGTGCTCTCTCTGTCTCTGGGGAACCATATGCCCGCTGACAATTACAAAAAGAAAGGGAGTACTGGGATGAACTTGGTCTGCACAGGGGTGCAGCAAGGACTGGCACCAGGCGGAGGGGGCCTCACAGCAGCCAGGCAGGAGCCAGGCAGGTAGGGTCCTCCCAAGACCAAGGGAGGGGCCAGATGTTGGCCCACCCTCATGGCCACCTTCCCCAGACTGGCCTCTTCAGCACTAGGCATGTGGTCAGTGCCCTGGGAGGCAGGGACAGCTCCTCGATGCTTTTGTTGTGCCAAGGGGACCCAGCCTTCACTGTCCCTAACAGCACCTGGGGTAGATTCTGGCCCCTGAGCTCTGAACTGGGGTCAAGGGTTGGAGCCCTAGGGAACACTGGGACCCACGTAGGTGTGGGCCAGACAGAACCGCCAGGGCCAGCTTCCCACAGACCCATCCAGCCTGCTTTGGCCCAGAAGGAAGTGACTTGCCCTGGGCAGGGCTGCCGCCTCTGAGTAGCCATCAGGCCACCTGCCAGCAGCCAGGCGCTGAGCCGGCACCGCCGGGATCCTGCCCTGGGCCCAGCTCTCTGGCCCCCTGGTCCCCTCTGGGTACCCTGAGTCCCAGGGCAGAACTGCAGTCCCTGCTGCCCTCCCGTGGCTGAGGAGGTCCAGGGGACTGATAAGCCACACATGGGGGCCCTGCCCTCCCTCTGGCCAGGAGGGCCCACAGATAACAGCCAGATCATCTGCTCAGCCAGTGCCAGATCAGGCCTCCTCTGCTGCCACGGGGCTGGCTTGGCCTCTGTCCCTGAGCCAGTTTTCCGGTCCCTCCCACACAAATCATTGACATCAGGGGGCCGTGACCTAGGTCGCCCCCTCCTGCCCTTCCCAACTGGGGCACGGGGGCATAGGTCATCCTCATGGGCCACAGAGACACACGTTGAACTACAGGACAGCCATTCTGAGAGCCGCTTCCTGGTCACCCCAAACTAACCACCCCACCTGGGCCCCAAGACCTGTCTCTGTGCCTTTTTCAGGGGCCTCCTGCTAGGGTGCCTCTAAATCCCAAAAGAACCCCACCCTGAAGACCAAGACCAGCCCAGGTGCCCCCCCCCCAGCCTTTGATGCCTATGAGTCCGTGTGCCATCCCTTGGGTGTGGTCATGGTGACGTGGTTTTTGTGGGGAGTCATTTGCGAATGAAGGGGGTAGTCTCGACATTGGGCTGTGGAAGGACTGAGCTTGCCTTACTTCCAGGGGACACAGGCAGGGCAGGAGAGGAGCTCTCACACCGTGACAAGGCTCTGGTCCCAGTGGTGGCCTATAGTGTGTACTTTTTTGTATCTTTTAAATTTTGAGCCATGTAAATGTATTATTTATTCCAGAAACAAATAAAAATTACATTTTAGAAACTCAGCTCTAACATTAACTCTGTACGATAGCAACACCAGTTGAATCAAATGGTCACAAAGTGGGGACCAAATGGAGGCACAGTGCCAACAGAGGACACTGCGCTGGCCCACGTAGGAAAGGCCTGGGTTCAAGTCAGACCTCCCTGAACGCACTGGACACACACGTGGGGGTGCATCCTGACGTGTAGACCCAGCTGGGGAGGCTATGTCTCTGTCCTCTGTCTCTCACTCTTAGAAATAGCACAAAGTAAGCACAAAGACTTCTTAAAAGCCATATTTACAAAATGTTTTATAACACCAAGAATCTCATGCTCTGTACCAAGGTCAAAAAGACCACATGGTGTGTGGTCAGATTTTGTGTCTGTACAACACGATCCAAAAAAACCCGTAATATACTTACATGTGCACAGAGCCAATGAAGAAAAGTGCACCAAAATGCCAGCGGCACTGGTCTGGGTGCCGTGTTGGCAGCTAGCCGGTCCCTTTACTCGCCGGATGGGCGCGTCAGCCCCTCTGGGGACCACAGTGAGGGAAGCAGGCAGTGTCCATGGCCCGCCACCCTGCCTGGTTGCACAGCCACGTGCTCTACAGTAAACATGAATTTCTACACATACATTTTTTTTTTAAAGATTTTTTGCTGTAGGGTGCATGTGCACGAGAGAGAGGGAGGGAGCAACCACCCCCGAAGGGATAGGCCTGCCATAAGCCCTTCTCCTCCATTCTCCTCTCGGGATTTAGGGCCCACACGCACACACACCTGATGTATTTTAAGCCACTGGGTTCAGGACTTGAACCGCGGTTGACTACGTGGGAGTCCGGTGATGTAACCATTACGCCATCTGCTGGTCCCCAGCACTACGCCCCTTTGGGAAAGGTTTCTGCCTTCACCACTATTGTGACTGAGGGGTGCAGACATCCGTCCTGACTCATCAGAGTACGCACGCAAAGCCTGTGCGTGTTGGCACGTGTACATCACACCTCCCTTCGACAGCGTCAGGGCAGAGCTGGGCATTGCAGCTCCCTCACCAGCTCTCACACCCCTCGAAACAAGCTCCAACGGGGGCGTCTCACCCTCTCAACGTTCAGGAGCACGCCCTTGTCTCTAACAAGGCAACAGGAAGCAGCTCTCGGTACAGGGTTTGTCAGTTGGAATCAGAAGGGAAAATCACAGAACAAATCAGAGGAAAAGGAGTACTGGAGCCTGGCCCTGTGACCTGATGGTTACGGAGCCGGATCCATGTGGCAGACAGCAGTGCAGACCTTGGCCCTGGCAGGTCGAAACATGCCAGCCATCGTAGCCTGAATCTCAGCCCCGGTGGTGCCCAAAATACCAACAGGATGGAGAAATGGAGGCGTGTGACCAACCATTGGGGGTGCTCTCTCTGTCTCTGGGGAACCATATGCCCGCTGACAATTACAAAAAGAAAGGGAGTACTGGGATGAACTTGGTCTGCACAGGGGTGCAGCAAGGACTGGCACCAGGCGGAGGGGGCCTCACAGCAGCCAGGCAGGAGCCAGGCAGGTAGGGTCCTCCCAAGACCAAGGGAGGGGCCAGATGTTGGCCCACCCTCATGGCCACCTTCCCCAGACTGGCCTCTTCAGCACTAGGCATGTGGTCAGTGCCCTGGGAGGCAGGGACAGCTCCTCGATGCTTTTGTTGTGCCAAGGGGACCCAGCCTTCACTGTCCCTAACAGCACCTGGGGTAGATTCTGGCCCCTGAGCTCTGAACTGGGGTCAAGGGTTGGAGCCCTAGGGAACACTGGGACCCACGTAGGTGTGGGCCAGACAGAACCGCCAGGGCCAGCTTCCCACAGACCCATCCAGCCTGCTTTGGCCCAGAAGGAAGTGACTTGCCCTGGGCAGGGCTGCCGCCTCTGAGTAGCCATCAGGCCACCTGCCAGCAGCCAGGCGCTGAGCCGGCACCGCCGGGATCCTGCCCTGGGCCCAGCTCTCTGGCCCCCTGGTCCCCTCTGGGTACCCTGAGTCCCAGGGCAGAACTGCAGTCCCTGCTGCCCTCCCGTGGCTGAGGAGGTCCAGGGGACTGATAAGCCACACATGGGGGCCCTGCCCTCCCTCTGGCCAGGAGGGCCCACAGATAACAGCCAGATCATCTGCTCAGCCAGTGCCAGATCAGGCCTCCTCTGCTGCCACGGGGCTGGCTTGGCCTCTGTCCCTGAGCCAGTTTTCCGGTCCCTCCCACACAAATCATTGACATCAGGGGGCCGTGACCTAGGTCGCCCCCTCCTGCCCTTCCCAACTGGGGCACGGGGGCATAGGTCATCCTCATGGGCCACAGAGACACACGTTGAACTACAGGACAGCCATTCTGAGAGCCGCTTCCTGGTCACCCCAAACTAACCACCCCACCTGGGCCCCAAGACCTGTCTCTGTGCCTTTTTCAGGGGCCTCCTGCTAGGGTGCCTCTAAATCCCAAAAGAACCCCACCCTGAAGACCAAGACCAGCCCAGGTGCCCCCCCCCCAGCCTTTGATGCCTATAGGCCAGGGAGGGCGAGTGCCCCCCCCCCCAGCCTTTGAAACCTATAGGCCAGGTAGGGAGCTCAAGCATGGCTGCGTCACCTCCCCAGCCCAGGGGGCTCGGTGGGGTTCCAGTCACCAAAGGGACAGTTGTAGATCTAGGGAGGAAGAGGAGGGGACCTAGCCCTGGCCTTGGGCAGAGGGCTGACCCAAAGGATGGTGTGGGGGCTGGGGAGACATGGCAGTGGGTCTCTGACAGGTGAACAGCTTTCTAGGCAGAGCTGCTGGGACATCCCGGCCCATGGGCCCACTGTCTCCTCAGGCCAACCCCCAGGAACCAGAGGCCCACAGCTCTGGTCTCCTCAGGTCTCCACTTCTCGAATCCCGCAAAGGGAAGATCGCCCCCACTCGGGTGGCATCCCTGATCTGAGGACCGAGACGGCTTAAGGACTGGAGGAGCCCTCTGGCCCAAGGGTGGGCTCAGGAAGGTGTCAGAACCACAGCTGCCAAGAGCCAAGGTCAGAGCAGCCATGTAGCTGGCCCAGGATGCACCGCAAGGGGGAAGTGGAGCCCACACACTCCGGAGTCCAGGTCAGTGGGCCGTGCCTTGTCCTCTGCGCCCCCCCCACCCAGGGCACCACCTCCTCAGCCCCACTAACCAGGTATGGAGGTCACATCCTGAAAGTTTCAGGGCTGCTAGGAAGCTTGGGTATGGCCCAAAGCCCTTTGAAGACAGATGAGAAAAAGGAGGCCCAAACAGAAGTGTGTCCAGTCACCACTGACACCCCTGGGGTGGGTGGCAGCTCCTGGACTCCTGGCAAGATCTACCTCAGCCTTTCCCCACCCCTCCCTCCCGTGGACCAGCACCCTGGACTAAGCACTGCCACCCAAAGCCTCTTCCACCAGGCATGCTCCCCTCAGGGATGCGGGTGGGCAGGCGGGCAGTGGTGCCCTGGTCACTGCGCTCCTGGCAGGACATCACGGCCCTCAGGCCTGACTGGTATGGGTTAAATTTCACAGCACATCAGGGCTCTCGGGCAGGCCAACTGGCCACCTCCCTGGTCCTAGCTCAGCCAGAGCCCCTTGGCCTGAGGACCAGTGTCCTCGTTAACAGGTGGAACCCTTCCTCAGACATGGGCTCTCCAGCCCATCAAGAAGCCTGAACAGAGGAGGAGCCATCACCTCTTAGCCAGCCTGGGCAGAGGGCAAGCCTGGAGGAAGGCGGGTGGGCAGCTGGGGCAGGGCCTGGGCAGCAGCTGCAAGGGCAGAAGTGAGGCAGGGTCCCTAACTGCTGATAACCAAGGAGGAGCTGGCTGCACCCACCGGGGTGGGTTAGGCTCAGGCCCAAATCCAGCCACAGTTCTGCCCAGCCCTCCCTGCCCTCAAGATCAAGCCAGAGCCAGCGCTGGCGCCTGCTGAGGGACCCAGAGCCTGCTTCTCTGCTTCCAGGCCTCTGCACATGCTGCCCCTGCTTCAGTCCCCACCCTGCTCAGCTCAGCTGGCACCCCTGCTGGGACACCTTCCTGTTCCCAGACCTTCACTCTGGCTCACTGTGGGAGGCTTGTCCCCACCCATTTCTGGGGTTGGCAGTGGGCTGGGAGTGGCCAGGCCCAGTGGGGCGGCAGGCCCAATGGAACAGCCCGGCCCAGTTGCACCCACAATGCCGGCAGCTTGGAGCCCGCCCGACAGTCGCGGCCCAGCCTCTAAAGCACGTGACAGACGAGGCGGAGATTCTGCTGTACTGAGATCGATGTATGTAAAGTTCCCAGTACAACGCTCTGAAAAAGTTCTGTCCCCAGATCCAGCGCTGAGGGTGCCCCGGGGCTACCCTTTGCCCGTGAGGTCCAACGGCTGCAGGAAAGGTGGGAGCGGCAGCTCATCCAGGGCTTCGGGGAAGCGGCCGGGCGAGATGGCGGTGACCAGCACCTGCATGGCACGGGCGAAGAGCGAGGGCGGCGCC